AAAAAAAAAAAAAGAAATCAGCCAATGGAAATACTCAAAATCATACAAATTTTCTACTATATTTGCATTTTTTTGCAGAATTGTTTGTAGCAGTAAAAATAGTAAGCAGACAAAAGGAAATGACTCAATAAATCACGACATCAAAATAGTGAGCTAAAAGATAGCACAGTGGTACATACCTATTGTCCTAGCTACTTGAGAGGTTGGGACAGGAGGATCACGAGTTCAAGGCCAGCCAGAGCAATTAGTCAGACCCTGTCTCAAAATAAAAAAAGAACTAGGGTATAGCTCAGTGTTAGAGTGCCCATAGTTTGATCCCCAGTATCTTCCCCAAAAGTGAAATAATACTGCAAGAATAAGGCAAGTCCATATGTCATAACAAGGAAATATATTCTCTGTTTATTATGGGTGAAAACAGCCAGCTGGAAAAGTAAGAGATATGAGAGAGAAAACACAATCAATATGATAGATGGGTAGACAGATGGTAATAAATGGATAATTAATAAATAAATTATGGGTGGATATATAGATTGGTGATCAGGAGATAGAGTTATGTTCATTGAAAGACATCTGCAGGAATGTAAGCCAAGAAATTAATAGTTCGACAGTGTTTTTCCCTCTTTGGTGGAAAAGTTAAAATTGTGGGAGGATCTTGCTTTTACTATCATATGTATCTGTAGTGATTCTTCTGGTATGTATTACTTTTACAAAAGAAAAGAAGCAGAGATATTTGCTTATGGAAATAAAATAGATCACATCCTTTGAACCCTACTCCTACCTGAAGGGGCCCCTGAGGCCCCCTGAGTAAAAGGCATTCCTGTGCGTGTCTATAACCTGCTACCTCTGCTTTCACCCTCTTCCTCTTCAGGCCTCCGAACCCCTCCCAGCCTGATCACAGACAGGACAGAACTCTGCATCCCCACATTTGAGGTATTTTGGAAGGATACCTCCAGACTATCTTTTCCTCTTTTTGTGACATCCAAATGGCAGCTGACTGATATAGAGCTGTTTAAGTCCAAGTCCAGACAGAAATATGATATAAATTTAGCCATTTGTCTTCCATCTGGGCAGCTGCCTTCAGGTACCATTAAAATTCCATTCCAGTTTTTGCTATGACAGCACCAGAGACCCATTTCTGATGGGGTGATGGGTTTCCAGTTTCTTTTTCTAACATCAGCTCTTTTCCTGGAGAATGTATTGTATGCTAACAATGTGAGGCAAGGTGAATATTAATCATCCTGTACATTTAGGTAGTTCTTTATAGCTTTCAGACACTGTCACATTCATCAGCTTGTTTGATTTGATCTTTGCATCAAACCTGGGGGTCAAGGAAGAAGGAGCTGGCTAGAAAGAGAAACTTTTACAGATGAAAAAACTTGAGGTCTAAAACTTTCTCACCTTCACCTGAGCAAAGTATAGCAGAACTATATTAGTTCAGTCTGGGCCC